AAAAAAAAAAAAAAAAAAAAAAAAAAAAACCTTTCCAACAAAGAAAAGCCCAGAACTGGATGGATTCTCAGCTGAATTCTACCAGACCTTTAAAGAAGAACTAATACCAATCCTTCTCAAATTATTCCATAAAATAGAACAGGAGGGAACTCAGCAAAACTCATTCTATAAAGCTAGTATCACTCCAATACCAAAACCAGATAAAGACACATCAAGGAAAAAAAAAACTTTAGACCAATATCCTTGATGAACATTGATACAAAAAAATTCTTAATAAATTATTGGCAAACTACACAAAAAAAACACATCAAAAATAGTGTTCTATGATTGAGTAGGATTCATCTCAGGGATGCAAGCAATCAACATATGGAATTCACAAATGTAATCCACCACATAAATAAACTTATAGACAAGAATCACATGATTATTTCGATAGTTGCAGAAAGAGTATTTGACAAATGCAGCATTCATTCATGTCTAAAATACTATAAAAACTAGAGGAACTAACCTCAACATTGTAAAGGCTATATGAGACAAACCCAAAGCCAACATTATTCTGAATAGAGAAAAACTGAAAGCATTTTTTTTCTAAAAACAGGAATAAGACAAGCATGCCCAATTTCACCATTCCTATTGAACATAGCCATTGAAACTCTGACCAGAACAATTAGGTAAGAGAAGGGATTAAATRGATAGACTAGGAAAGAAGGAGTTGAAATCATCTCTGTTTGTCAATGACATGATCTTATATTTAGAAAACCCCAAAACTCCACCAGAAGACTTCTAGAGCTCATAAATGAATTCTACAAAATTGCAGGATACAAGATCAATACCCATAAATCAATTTGGTTCCTATACTCCAAGGATAAATCTGCTGAAAAAGAAATTAGGAAAACTCTCCAATTCACAATAGCCTCAAACAAAAGAATACTTGGAAATCAGCTTAACAAAAGAGATGAAGGACCTCTACAATGAAAACTACAGAAGACTAAAGAAAGAAATTGAAGAAGATCTTAAAAGATGGAAAGACCTCCCATGTTCTTGGGTAGGCAGAAACAGTCAAAATGGCCATACTACCAAAGCGCTACACAGATTCAATGACCTTTTTCATAGAAACAGAAAGAGCAGTCATGAAATTCATTTGGAAAAATAAAAGGCCTGGAATAGCCAAAGCAATTCTTGGTGAGAGAAGTGAAGCAGGAAGCATCACAATACCTGACTTCAAATTATACTACAGAGCTATAGTAACAAAACCAGCATGGTACTGGAACTCAAACAGGCATGATTGGTCAGGAGAAAAAGCAGGAGGCTTTGGAAATGAGAGTTCAAGTCTTAGCTGGTACTGGGTGGTTTTCAAGGAGCTATTTATCTTCTATGAACCTCAATTTCTCATGTGTAAAATTAGAGAATTGTATTAACTGATCTCCAAGATTTCTTCCAGTTTCACAGCATTATGACTTTTTGAATTTGAAATTAATATTTCCCAAACAGAAGGACTTAAGTATAATCAGGGCTGGCATATAAACATAAAACAACAAATTCCATTGGAGTCAGGTGTGTCTTGCTGTTGTTTTAATTGCTAATATAGATAAAGGTGTGAATACTACTCAAACTGTCTCTACTCAGTGAGTAGACACATAAAAGTAAAGACATTCAAATTTGGAAACTCCTTCTTATTCCTTTCCTTGGAGGTCTATAATTGAATTTTCTTTATTAACTTATGAGTTGGTTTATGTTTACTCATTCCTACCACCGTTTATTAAGAAACCATAATGTGCAAGGGGCTGATAGCAAGATGAGCAAAAAAACAGTCCTTGCGCTAAAGTAGCCAGACTTAATAGCTGACCAAAATTTAAAATGCACATTTAAAAAAGATGGTTCACCTTGTCTTTTAGCTTGTAGTTCTGCAAGAAGATTTTCTTTCACCACTTTTATAGCTGCTTCAGTGGCCTCGGCTATAGAATTTTCTATTAGTGATTCACGGGCTGCATCAAAAATTGGCTGAACGACTGTGGTATAGTCAATGACCTGCAAAGAATATTCAAGAAAATCCACATAAACTAACAAGGTACTCAATCAAAGATAAGTAAATAAAGGAAAGAAAGGAAGATCAGTAGAGTAGGGGAAGGAGAAAGAGGGAGGGAAGAGCGAGGGAATAGTGGGGGAACAAGGTGTGGGAGTTCTGTGTTTGGGATTGGGGTTCTACAAACTTTGTAACTGTGACATGCTTGGTGACTAGGAAGTTTCTGTGCAAAGCCCAGCTGCTAGTATATACCTGGCTACTGGGAAATTCCTGGGCAAAAGCACATGATGCCGGGCTGCCATAGCAATGTCCTTCACAAGTTTACCCTGCTTCCCAGACCTGGGATGCCCAGCCATCTCCCTCTGAGGGAATAAGATAACTAGGCAAGCACTATCTGGTCTCCATGGTAATACCCCTGGAGGATAGGGACCCCATGTTTATTCTAACCTGCACCTTATCTCAGTTAGCTAGCACTCAGGGTTAAAGAAATACTAATTAGAATATAGTCATGATAACGGGAGATGTGTGTTCTTGGAATTAATAAATTCCCAGGCAGGGAGGAGCGAACACTGCACTTCTGCACCTCTTCTTCACCACTTCACTCTCTTTGCTCCATCCTGTCTGCCCGTTTGTACCYTGTGTCTGTTCTTTTGTGTGTCTCCTCACAGCTTTTCTCCACAGGTGTTCCTTTATAACGAGAATGAAATATAATTCCATGTATGTATGATTTTGTCAAAATGAACCCAATCAGTATGTAAAACTATAATGCTCTAATTAAAAAACTCAAGGTACTGAGAATACAAAATGTTGTTCATCTATTTATCTATATCATCTATCTATCTATGCCTATCTTCTAAAAATATTAATACCATTTCAGGTATCTCTGGAATTGTGTTCAGAATTCACTGACTTTGAGTACTTGCTTTAATAAACATTGATCYATATTTTTCATGCATGGATTTCATGTATTTATTCATATATCCATGCATACATATGTATGGATATACATGATACACATATATTTTACATATATATATTTGGTTACATATATATTTTTTCCTTAATCAACAAAAATTTAAATGTATTAAATTAACTTTGTATGTATAACTTACATACAATAAAAGGTACCAGTTTTTACAAATAAATACATACAACAACCACCAAAATCAAGATATAGAACTTCAATATCACCCAAAAATGTTCCCTTTATGTCCCTGTGTAGTTAATACCTTCCCTCCTCTTCTCCCTTTCCCAGCTTTCATTCCAGGCTCTTTGGCAACCACTTTCTGCTTCTGTCACTACAAATTAATTTTACTTTTTCTAAAATTTTAAGTAAATGGAATAATACAGCATATAACCTTTTTCATACTTTCTCCCCTTAATAAATTGGTTAGAATGGTTTTTTTTTATTGTTGGTCGTTCAAAACATTACATAGTTCTTAATACATCATATTTCACAGTTTGATTCAAGTGGGTTATGAACTCCCAATTTTACCCCGTATACAGATTGCTGTATCACATCAGTTACCCTTCCATTGATTGA